ATGGCAAGTGTACAATGAAATACCATTAAGAAATAAAACAGAATGAACTATTGAAACATGTAAGAGCATGGCTGAATCTCAGAAACAGCATGCCCTTTGAAGGAAACTTCACAAAATAAGCTGTGTAAAATGTAATTCCATGTATGTCCAATGATCAGTCAGAAATTTAGATAAGGGTGAATTTTCACAGAGAAACATGAGAGCAGCTAATAAAGGAAATATTCTATCTCATTGATTGGTGGTTAACTAACTATATATGTTTGTTGAAATTTTTTTAACAGAATCCTTTAAAGAGGCAGAACTCATTATATAGGGAGCATATCTCAATAAAGCTAACCAAAAATAGCTGAACAACTGACTGGAGAAGTATACATACAACAGACAAAGACATAAAGAAAACACACATAACTCTAAATGTAAAGTTTTAGAACAAATAAGCTTATGCAAATATGTACAAAAGATATGTAGAAGAAGAAATTGCCCCTAATAAGTAGAGGAGTCTGGAATCAAATCCAGACAGGGCCAAAGTCCTTCTGACCACAAAAAAAGAAAATTTTGAAATGTATTTATGTATTTATGACAGAAGTAGGTACAGGGTCTATGTACAAGTATGTTTCTTGGCACATGGTTTATGATATTTATTTTAGTAGAAAATAAATATGCAAAATATAATGTAAATATTACTCATAATATTTATATTTATATAAATATATGGTAGAATTCTATAAAGTAGTAACAAGGATGACATTAGATCTCTGTATCATAGCAAAGTGGTTATATGTACCAGCTCTGATAGCAGTATCAGTTTCTGAGTTCAAATCCCATCTCTGCTATAACTGCATGGGTGAACTTGGGAAAATAACTGTTGTATCTCAGCTTCTCCATCTATAAAAGAAGAACAGCAAGTAGGATTATTGGAGAATTAAATATGATAATTTTGTATCAAATGTTATAAGATATGTCTAATCCTTAAGAGGGTTGCTACAGTGAAGATAAATGTAAAAACAGCAAATGCAGAACTACTACTGGACATGGGTCACACACTAGGGGAGAATGTGCATGGGAGGAATAGGGAAAGGAAAGGAAACCTAAAACTTGAATGTGGTTGATATGCTCACTGTAGAGAAGTGAAAAAAATAATCTTAAACTGGCAGAGGGCACTATGGGAAGGGGACCAGGAAGTAACAAAGAGGTCTGGAAGAGATGAACCAATGTGGGTTGCAATGCACATGTACGTGAAAATAACGCTAGGAATCTCTATGTATAGCTATGTTGATCTCAATCTAGCAAAAATGTTATGTCTTTCTGATTATCTCTTATGTTTTCTCTTTAACAAAATTGAAGAACTAGGGGGCAGAACAGATTCTGCATGGAAAAGAAGAGGGGAGGTTTGAAAGAGGGAGGAGGTGGCCCAAACAATGTAAATACATGTAAGTAAATGTAAAAATGATGAAATAAAAGAAAGGAAATAAAATAAAATAAATCAATATATATATTTTACATATATTACTTTAAATAATTTTCATATCGAAGAAAGTTATACACGTGTCAAAAAGATACACACATATGTCAATAAGATAGAATTTTTATAACTTAAGACAACAATAACAAAATAAACTGCATAATTCTATACATGTATGTAAAGAAATTTTCCTGAAAGTGTACTGGGAAACTGAATACATTAGTATAATGCCTGTGGAAAGCTGAGAGTGAACAAGACTGAAGTTTCCACATGCAGGACTTGTTGCTCTAATGTTTTATGTCTCTAATTTAAAAAGGCAGTGAGAAAGAGATGACACAAATCTGACAAAATGGTGACAATCATGAATATATGCATTCCAGAAAACCATTCTAGAATTTACTGCATTGCTGTATATAATTTTATTTATACTTTCAAGTTTTACAAAAGGATTTGGGTAAATACAAGTATAAGCTCTTGGAATAAGAAAAACAGAGGCCTGTAAGTAGAGCTGTTTAGAAAAGAGTCCCTGAGACTTTTCATCTCAAATAAGTTATGGTGTTGTGGACTGATGACATAGATGGGTCCATCTGAAGCAGAGAAGCTGTAGCTAGGGAGAAGGAGCGTGGGTGTCACCAGAATGTCAAGGATGGAGGCAGAATGACATCTGAGAAAACCGCAGCCCAGGCTGGGCTTGCATAGTGTCTAGGAAAGAGGCCAAGAGCAGAGCAGGCCAGTCACTTCCCATCAAGTCCCTTACCTGCCAGAGGTGCCTCGTGTCTGTTCTTAGCATTGACTTTCAACACATAAATCCCTTGCTGAGTGAGAGCATTCTGAAATCAAAAGTCTGAGGCAGAACAACCTTTAGTTATAAAAGACTTTAGGTCTAGAGAAAGCAGTTTTGTGGACATAAGAGGATGCAGACATGAAGGAAAACCTTTTAGGGAAGAAGCATATGATCTTCCACTATTTTCTGCTATTGCTGAATATTTGCCTCATATAAGAGGTTTTATAACTCTGATAATATTTCAGTAACACACTGTCAATTCAAAGACTGAGCTAAATTAATATGATGTCCTAAAAGTCAATCAATTTTAAGTAATTCAGATCATAAGACACTTATGGGTACTGAACACTTTGTTAGTCTTTTTCTTGTAATATTGATATTTTGTAATTTCCCAAAAAAGGAAAAACATGAAAAAAAGAGAGAAGATAGGAAGAAAGATTTTCAATATTATATTATTTTCCCTCTGACATACTTAGATAGTGAATCTGTTCTTAAACAAACAGTTTGCCTGTGTGTACAGAGCACGTAGAGTATTCTATTGGTAATTCCAGTATCAGCTTCTAAATTAATGAAGCTACTCTAGCTCAGGTTACCTTTTCCTTCCATTCAGAGGGACATATTTATTAGCATTTATGAATTGTTCATTAGTATTTGCACTAAGTGCACAAATAACTCTGATGGGAAATATTAACATAATTAGGAATAGGTGGAGGGATTGTTAATTAGAATTGACTTATCCTCAAGTAATTGCAATGTTTACTGCCCTCATATAAAGAGTTGGCCTGGAAAAGTAAGATTTTCTGGATATTAGAGAGTCTTTTATTTTAAAGCAGCATCAACTTTTATTAAGAAGAGAGAAATATTTCCCATTCTACAGGAAATCAAGGCTGGCATGAGAGGGAATGCCATGTGTTGCAGATGGCACATACTTCTTTGGGAAATTTAATAGGTATCCATTCATAAAGCATAGCTTATTGTACCTCAGTGAATCAGAGTGAAGGTTTAGAATTGCACAAGTGCACTTCATGTGATACATGCCACACTTTGGATTCTGCATGGGAGAGAAAATCATAAAACAAAGTAACTAAAGAGCTCTGAAGCACAGCATGTGCTTGTGAATAAAGCAAATTAAGCTTTGGGTATTTAAGAGGCTCTCTTTTCTTTTTTTTTTTTTTTTGATTGTTTTCAAATTTTTTATTATTATTGTACTGGGGGTACATTGTGACATTTACAAACATTCTTACAATGTATCATAGTTGAATTCACCCCCTCCATCATTCTCCTTTATCCTCCCTTCATAAAGCTCTTATTTAAAAAGGTCATGCAGACTTAAGCACCACCAGTGACAGAGAACTCATGAATTTAATTTCAGAAATTGTTTTTTTTCTTGCTCTGAAGAGGCTCTCTTTTCAATGACAATTGTGAATGCCATTTCTCTTAGTAAAATCAAATAAAGCGTCTGATTCGAAAGAAGAAGAATGGGAGCAAAGAAGATAAGAAACTTGTCCCCCATCAACCTAAGTATGGGTTATCCAGGTTCTTTCTCTGTTTTTGGCTAGAGAGTAAACTATGCTTGAAATATACAAAGAGGAGGGATACATGGAATTCCTGTTGAACACTATTCAATGCAAATATTATTAGGAGAGGTAAATAAAACTTTATTAGATGTTTATATCCTAGTATAAATAAACCTTAGAGATTCTTTCCTACAACAATTCAAAGTTGAATTTTAAGTTTGCAGAGAATTTGAAACTTGATTTGTGTAAGGACACTATGGTGAAAACCTTTCTCTTGAGAAATATTGTCTTGAAAAATTTTGTCAAAATATTAGAGGGAAGTTATTGAACCTCTTAGAGTCAAATTTTTGCATGGATAGGTTGAACAGACCTTGTCTAAATAACCCAATTGCTGTGATATTCAAGTTAGTTATTTTCTGAAAACTTTAATCATCCTTGAGCTGTTATTTAAGTGCACATGAATAATTTTTGTTAATAACCTGTCTTTCCACCAAAAACTAAAAATAACAAAATTAGTATATATATATACATATGAATTGATTTAGGAAATAAGCATATGCTACAAAACAGATGCATCAGAAAACATATGAAGGACATCTCTCCGTGTTTGTTGGTCCTTACGCTATCCTGGTCTGAGGAAGCCCTTTTGTTATGAAGTTCATTGATAGAAACACCAAGGTTGATGTTGCACTTCTAATTTCTGATCTAGAGCTCAAGATAGGAAAAAAAACTGTTTAACATATTGGTGGGATTTCTGAGCATAGTATTTGAAGGAATCATTACAATGTCCTTGTGAAAAAAAGGAAAACTTATTTTTAATAGTAGCCACTGATGCTCTTGGTTACATAAAGGAAGTTAAGAAAGAGTTCATGTAATTCTTTTGTTAGTGCATGGACTCAGAATACCCGTGGGTACTAAGGAAAAGGTATTCAGATATATGATAAATTTTAACATAGAAGGTCAAACCACAGCAAATTCCAGGGGGGTGGAAACTGAGTGTCTTCCTGCTAAGTATACAAGAGTGATTAAGGTGCAATTTAGTTTGTGAACATGTGATAAATCATATTTAAACAATAACCTAGAGAAACATTCCCATATAAAAGGTGAGGGAGGAGAATGGATTACCTGGAATGTGGGCTCACCCAGGTGTAAGAGTATATATAACTTGGAGTCCAGACCGTGTCACTGAATCTCAGAGAATCTTTTCAGTTACATTTAGCTGAGCTCACATCCTCTCAACATGTCCTACAGTGTCTGCTCTGAAAACTTCTCTTCCCGCTCCCTTAGGGGCTGTGTGAGGTACCCAGGTTCCTCCTGCTCCTCCTACTCTAGCAATCTGATCCACAGTTTCTCTCCCAGAACCTTCCGGTTGGGATCCGCTTTCCACAGTAGCTTCCAGGGGACCTCCTTCCAGCCCAACAGATGCCAGACATCCTTTGTGGTGTCCAACCCCTGCCAGCGGTCCTGCAACCGACCCAGGGTCTCTACTTTCTGCAGTCCTTGCCATCCTACTTATACTGGATCTCAGGGCTTTGGATCAAGAATTTCTTGTTCCCTGGGGTACGGATCAAGGAGTTGCTATTCCAGTGGCGTCAGACCCCTGGGTTATGCAATCCGTGGCTTTCCTTGCTTTGGCTATAGGCCTGGATTCTGCCGCCCAACCTACCTGGCTTCTGGGAGCTACCAGGCATCTTGTTACAGACCAACCTGTGGATCTAGCTTCACGAAATCAACTTGCTGAATGTCCAGACCTACATTTTAAGTAAAATATCTTAGTGTCGGCTTAGAGCTGCTATTTTCCGCTTCTTCAGGAATGTTAGCTAACCTTTCTGTACCCTTTTTCTGGCATCAAGCACTGGCTGGCAGACTGGCTATTTCAGACAGTGAAATTAATGAATGAGCAAAATATAGAGTCAAATGTACTTATGAAACAAGTGACTCAATAATACATAAATTCTTCTTACAAAATGTATGGAAATTCAGTTATATTTGACTTAATAAACTCACTTACTCTTGCATCCAATATGATGTTTTCAGTGTTTATTATTGATTGTCAAGGTATGTTTCATGATTTGTTTTTGGAGCTCCATTTTTCCATTCCTTCATTAGAAGATCCTGTCCCTTTGGAAATGGCATTAACCTGGTATATGGAGATATTCTCTGAATAATCTACTGCTTGAGAGCTAAGAAGTACCGCTGTCTGTCATCAAAGCTGTAAGGATATTTAACAGCATCACTGAAAGTATACCCTGAATGGAGCCAGCATCTCATGTATTCAATGAGAAAGCCTTATGCTGACAATCATATGTGGTTTTGAGTTCACACATTCAAAACAATACTAAGTTAGAGTTTCCTCAGAAGATGTCAAATCGGCGATGAAGTATTTATAAAATATATAAAATATTTGAATAAGTCTGACAGATTGGTACAAAAAAGAGAAAACATGATGTGTCAGATACCGAGGGCCTTAGTGTTATCTCTAAATATATGGTAAAATATATGTTTCTCAGGGGGATAGAGAGAAAGAGAGAGAGAGAGAGAGAGAGAGAATGACTTAAAGTTTAAAACTGAGTAATACAAAGAATTTTACAGAGCCATATTTTGGCTTGTTATAAGGAAAGGTATGTAGTTGTCTTTCAGTAGCTGAAGGGGATTGGTCCCAGGAAGCCCCATGGATTCCAAAATCCATGGATACTCAAGACCCTTAAATAAAATGGTGTAGTATTTGCATTAAACTGACACACAACTTCTTATTACTTTAAATCATCTCTAGATTATTCACAATACCTAATACAATGTAAATTGTGCTGTATTTTTTAGGGAATGATGACAAGAAAAAGTTCATAGATGTTCAGTAGGCATGAAATTTTTTTCAAATATTTTCAATCTTTGCTGGTTAAATCCATGGATGTGGAACCCACAGATATGGAATGTGACTGTATTTATGAATTATAACTTTATGGACTTATTAAGACATGCTTACTTTTTGAAGTTATCCAGTGCCTTAAAAAGTAGATGAGTGTTTCAATCACTTTTGCAGTGAATAGGAATTAATATTGGATTAATTTAAATATTCTGAATCATATAACCTGCTTAAGTCTCATTGGTATCTAGGACTATTAGCTGCAATAGTGAGAATAAAAATAAATCTCTCAAGGAAGCCACTGAGATGTGAGCAGTGCATCCTCTATGTTCCTTTTAATTTGATCAATTTTCAAAGACTAAATATAGTATGAAAATCTAATTAAAAGCTTTCTATCCCACACTAGTAATACCTCTTCATCAATGGGAAAATGCTTACCAAAGGTCATCATTTACTCTAAGCATATGCTATGAGTGTTCATTGATTTGTCATGCATAATACATTTTCCTTAAGCCTATTCTAATTGGATCTGAGAAAAGGTATCTTTTCTCTTATACTAAAACAAAAGCGGAATAAACATGGAGTTGTAGGAAACAGGTTCTCTGTGTATAGAAACCTTCTCAGAAGTAAAAGATAGAAGAATAGAAGATACCAACAAAGAAAAAAGCTCCTAGTAGATAGGAGACTCTGCTTCCCTTAAATCAGCTTTACTTAGCCTACAAGCTTTGATTATATGGGCCAATAAACTCTTCCTTTGGTTTAAGCTAATTAAAATATAATAAGATTTCTGTCACTCACAGCTAAAGAGTTATAATTAATAAAAATGTGTCATCGAGTGTGGTATTACTCATTGGCTTTGCTGTAAATAGGTAGTTTAAATTGTTATTACTAAAGCAAAAAAGATCTGTGGAGTCTGAATTATTGCTATTAACAGTGATGGTGGACTACTAATTCATCATTAGATAATTCGTAATGAGTAAAATGCAAATTAAAGAACCATTTTGGAAAACAAATTCTAAAGGATCTCGATAGCATGGGCAGTGAGAAAGTCCTGGGAGAAGGAAACTTCTAACATCAGTCAAGGAAAGCACTAAGCCTTATTGTAGTGATGAACATAAAGAAATGTTTAAAACAAAGAGCAATCTCAAACTAGTAGGAGAGTCAGGTGACAAAAAGGATCTTCTCCGAAAAGGGCTTTGAGAATCCCCTTCCCCATTCTAATGGAAGCAATCCACACACTAGAATGCTTAAAGTATTTAAGATTTTCGGTGTAACGTGACAATTCCAGTGTCAGACAGGATGATGACCCTTTTCATCTTGCATCCTCCATTCTCTGGATAATAGTCATTCCTCAGTATTGTAGCTCTGCTAATATTCAACAACTTTTCTCTGCTGTTCTCCACCTCTCAGGTGTGCACACCATCTAACTCAGAGTCAATGACTGGATTGGATGATAGTGACAGGAATGCAGAAGGCTCTGGGTTCCATCATTGGTTAAGAAAGTGTTCCGAGTAAAATTAGGCATGTGCTTTCAAGGTCATTTAGCTCATTCATACTTACATGAACACTAATGTGAGGGTTTTTTCTGAATTCAGCTCACTAGACTTGTTTTGACTTTTAACCTTGCATTAGAATTTTCTGTGAAAAATTACAGATATTTTGAAAAGATCAAGGCCTTTGTCTTGAATGAATTAGTTCATGTCTAGTGAGAGACAAATTTTCTCCCATCATCTTAGTTTGAAGAGATATGAAGAGAGCGGTAGGATGCAGAAACTATACAAGTGATTGTACAATTGCTTGAAAGAATATTACATGGAGTTGGTAGACAGGATATTATAAGTTCTTTTTATTAAACCATGAAATCTGGACAGCCAAAGAGAATCACAATTATAATTGATCAATCCCACAGATCCAGAAAAAGATCTGTATGTAGTTTGACTGCCAAACTTTGACCTCTAATTTCACTGTCAAAAGCACCTCAGGAAAGAACAATAAGGCAGAAGAGGGAGCTCACCCAATGGCAGACAGAGAAAGGGTTGGTGTCTGGGCATTCCCACCTCTGTAAGAGTGACTGCTTCTTTGGGAGCTCTTTTTACTTCCCCTTCCTGTACCTTTTACAAATATCATGTCCCTTTCCTTTTGCCTGGGACTCTAAATTCTAAGAAGAGGCCAATTAAGATGTTAGCTGCTTAAATAACTAAAAGCACTAACTTCCTTTCATTAGGTCCCAATTTTCAAAGGTTCTACCTCCCAATAGCACCATAAGCTGGCAACTAATTCCTTAATATATGGTCATTTGGGGAACAATTTCAAAACACATCACTTGTTATTTCTGAAGTTATTGACCCTGTTTCTGCTATTTCTTTTTAAAATTTCTTTTATTTATTTTTTTCATTTATTGTTGTGCTGGGTAGAGGTATATTGTGGCTTTTGCAAAGGTTGTTTCAATGCATGAAACATATCATACTTGGATTCACTCCCTCTTCTGCAAAATGTTTGTATATTTTCCCAACCATCCTCTTTATAAATGTATTATTCATAAAGCTTCCTCATGGTTGAACTTTTAGCCAAAGACTTTAGTTAAATTCTCCATATACAATCACCCATTGTCAAATAAGATCATTCCTTTTTGTTCCATGGTCTTTGACTACATCAATCCTACTGTTCTAAGATATTCTTTATGGTAGGATAAGCAACCATCTGCTTCAGAAAGAAAAACAGTCCTTATCTATTAATCCTTCAACTTAATTAATAAATTAAAAGTTGTTTTCAATTTTAGTAATATTTCATTTCAAAACATAGTCTTTGCAATGAAGTAGATTTTTTTAAACGAATAAAAAGAGCAGAGAAAGATTGTATTGTGCCTCATACTTATTGTCACCAAAAGTGAGCACTATTGTTATCATTCATTATTCATAATAATGATATTCATGATAATAATATGCTTCATAGTATTCATTCTGGTTATTTATTGAATGCTCTGAATTATAAATAAATATGTCTTTCCTATGAAACATAAATATTCTACCTTGAGGTTTGTTTTTATATAAAGGATTACTACAGGTAGGCTGAAGCTTTAAAGTCTCTGATTATGCCCTCCCCCACTTTATGGGACCATGTAAAGGGAAACAGAGCAAGTGAAAAGTGAATTTTTCTTTGTGCAGTACTGTGTTTTAAACTGCTTGCTAAGCAGGTGTTCTGACACTGAAGAGTTAAGTTATATCACTGGTTCTCTTGCTAACTGAATTTGATCTTCTACACTTCAGCCAACTTTCTTTGGGTGTCAACCTGCTGACATCTGAAATAAGATGTTATTCAATAATCTTTAGTCTTTAATACTCCTTCCATCATTACAGAGCTGTCCTCATTAAATGATGAGTGTGAGCCACAGCACATTGGGTAGGTGTTAATATTTCCATCATAGTTTAAATTCTTCTAATGGGAGGAGCAAAAGACAAGTATTTAAAATGTGATACAATGTACCATGTAATGTGTCTAAGAAATATTTTTAGGAGATAACATCATGACTCACATGCAAATAAAAATGAAAAACATAGGAAATTCTTTAATTCATTAGTAAATGGGATTGCTAAAATGCAGAAACTAGCTCAAAGTATAATATAGGCTATTAGGAATACTAACATGAATTCAGAGATAGTTACAAAGTCATCATTGTACATAGAATAAAAATCAATGGCATCCCACTGAACTGAGATCATTTCCATTTCTAAGGAGAGCTACCATTTGCATTAGTGTCAACTTTCAAAAAATTACAAAACTACATGTTATTTCAAAAGCAATGAAAAGTCAAGAAATTCCAAAATGTGGACCAAACCACATAGTAATTCATTTCCCTCCATTTCAACATCCCACAATTT